CGCCCCTTTATTGGGACGATGTTGGCTAACGTCGAGTACTCGGTCCGAAGATGATCGAGGAGACAGCTGAGCAAGTTGAGCTTATCAGACAGAGACTTAGAACAGCGCAAAGTCGGGAGAAGTCATCAGCCGACAAGCATAGACGTGACATCCAGTTCGAAGTCAGAGAACGAGCTTTTCTCAGAGTTAGCCCATTCCGCGGAGTTATTCGATTTGGGAAGAGAGGAAAGTTACACCCTCGATTCATTGGCCCGTTCGAAGTTCTCGAGCGAGTGGGTGAAGTTGCGTATCGATTAGCCTTACCTCCCGAGTTGTCCAGTGTTCACAATGTTTTTCATGTATCCATATTACGAAAGTACGTGTGCGACCCCGATCATGTCATTCCTCATACTGATATTCAAATCCATCCAGATTTATCTTACGAGGAGCGACCGGTAGCTGTGTTGGACCGACAGGTTCAACGGCTCTGGAAGCGTGATGTTCCCCTCGTTCGTATTCAGTGGGATCGCCACAGAGCCACTTGGGAGCAGGAGACTGACATTCGCGCTTGTTTTTCTGATTTTCAGTTCTGATGTATATATCTTTTCATGTATACATGTTCAGTTTTATATTTCCGAGGACGGAAATATTTTAAGGGGGGTAGATTGTAATGACCCAGTTTCTTGTTAATAGAAATGAAGTATTTTCTTTATTAATCTTGTTCATTTTCAGCGTTTAAAGTGAATAAGTTCGACTTTAAGTCGAAAAGTTTATTCGGTTAATTATTAACCGAGTCAAATTCGATAATTAATTTCCGAACCGTTTATTTTATAAACGGATATTATTAATCGGGATTAATTATTGAAAGTTAAGAATGTTCGGATTTAATTTTGAGGCTAAGTTCATGATTAAGACGCACGCACGCACGCCGTGCATGCGCACGGTTAAGCCACTAAGTGCACGCTTATGTTCCTTTAAGCAACACGATCAAGCTAAGCAAATCCAAACTATCTTCCTTAAGATTACCGTGGAGATTAACCAAAGGATAAATGTTGGGAGCAAGTGGTGACTATGAGTCACCTACTTGCTTGCACACATGGCGGCACACGGGGCCGCGAGTGGTGACTAAGCCCGTGCATGCCCTCCACATTGGCCGTTGAGTAAGCCACAAACGTCCCACCTCAGCACCTGTTTGGGACACGTGTAATCAAGGGAGATGTTGTAATCTTTCACCTTCTTTGACCAAATTCTATCCACGGTTTTCACCACCATAAATAACCGAGCATGTTGGTTGTTCTCATGCACTTTCATGCACTAACTTGAGCCAACTTCAGCATACAATTGAGGGAAAATAGTGAGGAAATTATCATAGAAAAATTATAGAAAAATAGCTAAGGAAAGCCGAAGTAAAAGAGAAGCACTCGCACGCCAAGTCAAGCACCGATCACACGCGCAAGTCATTGTGCGTTCCTCAACTAAGCGGAAGGATATACTCTTATTTACCCTCTCTTCATATATTTAAGTTCACGTTAGGAAGATCATGTCAATACCATATCATTTGGTCCAAAATGTTTAGCAAAAACGCACTCGGAGGAGCTATATAAGCCCACCCGAGTGATTTCAAAATAGAACCGGCAAGTCCCGAGCAATTTATGCATATTTAGTCATTTCAAGTCATTTTATGATCAGTCATATAAGGGTTGCCAGAAAAAGTAG